GGACTCTGTCCTCGGCCAAGTTCACAATATATCGATGTGTGCTCAACACACTCTCATTCAATTTAAGATAGTTCATCGGGGCATTGATCCAGCGCTAAGCTGGGGTGTATATACCCAGAGGTGGATCCAATCAGTAGAAGGTTTGGGGGTGGTACATTACTTCATATGTACTGGTCCTGTCCTTTGTTGACCAACCTTTGGACCTCTGTTTTCCAAACAATGTCTGAAGTCCTCAAATTAAACTAGAGCCACTCTGTGCTATGTTTGGTGCAGACCTGAAGCTGCCCAACTCCAGACTCAGAGCACTAAACCTTTCATTACTGCTGGTCAGACAGCTATTTCACTAAAGTGGAAAGACTCTTTTTCCCCCCTCGCATGTGCAATCTGTAAAAGATATAATGTCCTGCACGACTTTAGAAAAAATCAGATATACAGTTCGTGGGTCAAAACACACATTTTATAAACTGGGGTCCCCTTTCTGGATTTCTTTGAAAACCCACGACTATTGTTTCTGAGTAACCCACGGATTCTCCCCCTTCCCCGTTTTTTCTTTTTCCTGTCTATTTGTTTGGTTATTTGGTTTTATGTTTGGTTATGTGTTTTTCTTTATATATTTAGTCGCTGCCAGTTACTTGTTGTTTAATGGTCGGGGAGGGAACGGAATGTGAAAATTCTGAAGTACTTTGTATTACACGTTGCTCTGAAACCTTTGTCTACTAAAATGACTTTTGAAAGAAAAGACAACTACTTCACTGAGAACGACCTGGACTGGCAGGACAGTGTTGGGGTATGCAGTGATGGTGCAGCTTCAATGACTTGCAGGCATCACAACATCATGTTCTTGATCGTGCACCAGCAGCTAAATGGACCCAGTTTTCTCCACCATGAAAGCCGCAGCAAAAAAGATTTCACCAGAGTTCCACGAGGTGATGGATGTAAGTGTGAAAAACATCAACGTCATTAAAAATAATGCTGTGAACTCCAGATGTTTTGACGAGCTTTGTGAGGACATGGAAGCAGATCGTGTCCAGCTCTCTACCACGGTGAGGTGAGATGGGACAGGAATGGTCCTCAAGCGTTTGAGGAAAGTTGAAGTTTCCTCTTG